GATCAACTTTGTACAACATTTCAAAATTGCATTGGTATACTTAAAGCGTGTATTGATTAAACAGAGTTTCTTCTTGGATTAATGGATTAATGGATAGTACGGGGAGTTTGGAAAAACTCGTCGCTCAGGCTGTTATCAGTCTATTGCGAGACGCCCGTTTATTCCCGAGTTTCTTCTTAGTATGTTGAGAACTTATAATGGCCTTTCGCATAAAATATGATTGTTATCAAAGCAATCGACATCATGTCATTTATGGTTATCACGACGTAAAAGTGCTGAGCAGTGTTCATAGTTTTTGTCTGGCTAATTTGGTGCTCAGTTGTTGTATTGTAGGTGTACTATGGAACTATTGTGTATCACCAAAATTATTGTTGGATTCATCATTTTAGCCAAATTTTAATTATTTTTACTTAATTTTTATAGTTATAGATATCATATTCATTATTTTTAGTAGAATTATGTGTGTAGCTTTTATGAGTTGAACCAAAAAAGTTTCCCATCGCTTGCAATTGGATACAGTTGTAAGCTTCAATTTGAAACGATCAAGCCATGTAAAACCGTACACAGTGCGAACGTTACTTTGAAATCTAATTGATAGAAACCAAGTACATTATCTCCAATTCGTTCCAATAGGCAGCTAAAATCATTCGCAGGATTTGATTCTCTTTACAATACAATGAATAATTAATTCAAACAACAGATTCTCGCTAAGTTTAGGGCTTATTGGATGAGAAATATAGGTAAATGCGTACATTTTAATTCCTGACTAGGGGGTAAGAACACAAGCGCTTGAGACGAATCCGTACGAATATTTGTGAATTCGTGTGATTGTGTATACGAGACATTCGCAGCGCAGTGAGTGTACAACAACAATAACAAAGCCACGAACGCATGAATATAGGCGAATCTATGTGAATCTCACAACTTGTTCCTAGCCCCTAATTTCCTGACAGATTATGCCTTCAATTTAATGCTAAATGTATTGGAAACGAAAAATGTGAATCTAGAAAGCTATAATCTAGAAGACATATAGATCTTAGCAAAACAAAAACAAAAACCAAAAACCAAACTCCAACCTGTGCCTAGATTTTGACTGATCCAAATCTTTTTACACAAAAGCCGTTAACCTCCAAAAATATGAACAAAATCAAAACCGTATGCCGTGTGCAACAAATACCATTCCATACAAATATAAAAGCAGACAGTGTAAAATAAACACGTTTATCCTCATCGCATTCATGCTTTTCCCCGGACTGATGTAGCTCGGTGAGTCTCATTATTGTACATCAAAAGCGAATCGTATAAACGTAAAATGGCTTGCTTCCAGTGAATAATGGTCAGTGTTTATTGTAAACTCGACTGGACTCCGAACAATGAAGCTTATAAAATGTTTTGTTCTATGACTAAAATAGGGGGAATTCTTTTCAATTATCAAGCTCATCAAAAATTATGCCAAAAATGTATTCCATCTTTCAGTGGAAAATTTTCGATAATTTCCAAGAGAAAAACTACAAAATTACAAAACATAACAGTTAAGGGAGGCTGGTAGTCTCACATCCCGTTCATCAGTCAGTTTTAATTGAATCAAGAGATTTCAATTGAAATGAGTTTGAAGTAGTTTGAGCTTGTCGATTTTCGTTTGAAGCAACCCCAGAAAAAGCGAATGGTAAACAGGATACTTGAAGCCATGGATGATTAGCATAGAGACATTGAGTGAGAGAATGAGCGCATTAAATACACACAAAAGTCATCATTGAATAGATTCAATCATTCGTTTTATTCATGGCATTGTGCAAATTGTAGAATACATACAGGACTGAGAGGCTGGCATCATCATCGTCGCGAGAGACACACACATAGAGAGAAAGAAAGAGAGAGAGAGAGAGAGAGAGAGAGAGAGAGAGAGAGAGCACCGAATTATTTTAATGCCATTATATAGATTTTTGCACAAAAACAAACGAAACAATTTTCACACAGTGTTTTGTTCAGATAACGGCACCAATTGCCGTCGCATCACCATTTGAATAAGGAGTTATTGTTATAATAATAATGATACGATGTTAGGAGTAGGAGTGTGAGCGAGTGAGCAAGCAAGCCAATAAACGAATGAATGAATGAGCTCGCACAAACGCACACCCGAAATGGTGAAAAAGATTATTAATATCGTTATTATTATAACACAAAAACGATAATGCGAAATTATGTTTTTTTGCCCATACGCTAAGGTGACTGCGTCATCATCAAATCACATTAAAACATTGAAAATGTTTGACTCACACATTCGGCATTTGCCGCACACGACCCATACCGAAATGCACAGTTACAGTAGTGTGTCTGTTTGTCACCACCATCATATTATCCCATTTGAACACGGGTTGGTGCGCCCATACCACTCATCTCTCTCTCTCTCTCTCTCTCTCTCCCTTGCCGAAATGTTGACGATGATACTGCGTGGCTGCGATGCTCGCATCGTAATATATTAGAGCCGTAAGTAGTTTTTATTGCCTATTTTGTGGTTTCATGCTTGTGTTTTCAATAAAAGGAACTTATTCGGTGACAATACAAATATTCTAATTTGCCGCCAACAGTAGCACGCACGCCTACGCTCGCGCACCCAACACAAATTATGAACAGCGTGTATAGAGAGAATATCATCGCTTGATACCGACACAAACACACAAACACTATGTGTGTCGCTGAGTCTGGTGTCATTCCAACAGATATGAAGTTGAAAATTAGCTACAATGATTTAGAACCCACTGACGCTAGCGCAAAACTTGTGCTCTGTCTCTCTGTCTCTCATTGTCGAGCAGCAAATATAACATATAGCTCCAATTTCCGGAGCGCGCATAACATTTGCATTAAACGGAATTTATGACATAAGTCTCGGCATTGAGGTCACACGACAACATTTTAATGCGCCATTTACTCCCTCTCTCCAATACACTCATACATTCACAACTGTTTGGTGATATTACATTTAAATCTTTTTACACTGGCCATATTTTTCATATTTTCCAGTCGGTTTGCATTCATTGCAACCATTAAATTTCCAAACCACCCACAACGATATAAAACACTCAACTGAACAATGGACGCTTTTGATTCGGATATTGGATTTTATACCGCTGTAATAAAAAAAAAATACTTACCATGCACATTTTTTGGATGAGGAAGAAAAGACGATCCAAAATTTGAAAGATTTTAATTAGCGTTTTGCTCATGCAAACAAATCGGCCAGAACAGGCCAGAAGGAAAATCAAAACAACGAATTGGCTTTTATTGGGTGAGTACATTATAGAGTTTTATTTGCCATCCATCATTCTTATCACGCATCACAACATCAACACAATCTGTTAATATCAGCCACCAGATCAAAGATTCTATCAAAGAATGTTTGAATTACCTTAGCTTGTGGTGGAACAACAAAAATTTCAAATAGAAAATTGTTACATATTTTCAATTGGACTTACTCATACGCTTTAATATGAATATTCACCGCTTTGCAGAGATTTTTCTTAATTTTTAGGTCTCGTTTTTTGTATTTGAAGGGATTCTTCTCGTCCTAATTTAATTCTACGTCTTTTTCGATGGATTCAATGATGAAATCAAAGTGATCACAAACAGCGCAGACATAAAAGCAGCAACCAACAAAGTACGATGTAATCGTGCTCATTATCAACTTATATGTAAATGCAATGTGACAGTTGATAAATAGCAACAGATACCATCTCCAAATACTTTTCGTATTAAACGGTACACTGATAAAGAATGGTAAAACCCAAGCGGATGTATCGTAATTTCCAGTCGCAATGTCATACGTACACTTAATAATGGGAATTTGAACTATCCCACAGCAGAAATTGGTGCAATACATTGCTTTTGTGAAACTTTGTCAATTTTGTTCGGTGCTGCAGTACATACGGTAGACTTCAGGATCGTCTTCAGCAAATTGGAAGGAAATGTTATAATTTTTATTTTCGGATAATATTTAATTATTCTGTAAATTTTGTTAAAGTGAAACGAATGATGCTGGTGATTTTAATGATTTCTAAAGAAATAAACGGGAACCCATATGTTTCACCATCATCAGTTATTTCTTGTAATTTCAAATGCAACATTTTAACTGTCTTCAATTTAAGTCCGATGCTTAAGCATGCCAAAGCTTCACTAGCGATTAAACAAGGTTGAGAAACAATATCCAATTGTGGCCAATGGTTATAGACGTACACGGCACTTGCAAGAACGGTTAAAATCGCCTCTGTGCAGATAAAGTAGTAAGTGACAGGCGAATTGAAAAATTCATTGGTCGGTTTGGTCATACGGTATAAATAAAGACCCATTCGAGCTGAGACACAATTCTTCTTATTAACAACTTTTTTTGTTTCGTCTTGAAGCTTTTCAAACATTCGATCCTAACTTTTTAAGTGGAGCTGTTGGTATTTTTTTTTATCTTTTATTCTAGTCGAAGTTTTTTTTCCCGTCTGCTTTTGTTTTTGATGTTTTACCCATTGTTGAGGAACAATTCATTGACAAGATTGTAAAGAAGAACGTGATAAATGAAGTAATTATTGAAAGTCTTAGCAATCATTATTATGATTCATCCAAGCAATAAATTCGTAAAAAACCTAAAACTTAATACTCTCCCTTTTGTTTAATTCACACTTGTCATTGTTGTGAGACAGACTATCGCTACGTTTTTACGCTTATCTCAAGATAACCTCAACCTTACCTCGAATTCGATTGACAGAATAAAATGAACAAAACCAAATAATGCTTTTTTTGTTTTCTGATTGCATTTTTTTTACAATTTTCTTAATATTTTTCAATTAATTTAGTTCTGCATTGAAATTGGTTTCAGTCAATTGTATGCCAGTTGATATTATGCAGAAAAAAACCATGTATCTATTTCAAAAACTACCAAACAATCTGAAAATGATGAAAATTCACATGCGTTAGGGACGATGCTCAATTTTTCAATTACTGTCATGAAGTCGTGATTTGATTTGCAACGAATCGAACTTTATTATTTATATTTTGATCAATTTTGTTCCATTATATTTTCAAATAGCATCGAATATATATGCGTACATTGATTAAAGACACGTTGAAGTCAAATATTCGGATGACTTTTCACATATAACATGATTGTCATCGGTGCATGGGAAATCGTGCCATCTGAAATTGTCCATGTGATAGAGAAGGACACAATGTTCATCTTCTTTATCTGGCTGTTGACCTCCCATGTAGTATCCCCAGTTATTGAACACCATATTGTTTCCATTACCCAACCAATACCAACGTGTGTGACCGAAATTAGTAGCCGACGTCCAAAAATCATAGTTTCCATAGCCTGATTTATAGATTCATATTTATTAGTTTTAGTAAACTTACTGCGATATCTTTCGTAAACTTTTCAATTAATTTAATTTAAATGGATAAAACCAGAAAAAAGTGCGGTAGCAATTGAATGCAAAATGTTTTCTGGTACCAAAAACGAAATGTCTGAAAAGTATTTACCTGAGTCGTTGACCATTTTCACGATTTTCTCGTTTTCTTCCTCCGAATATATGTTCACCAAACGCATTCCAATGGAGTTACAATATGCAATAGCCCTGAACCAATTAGTCTGGAATAAATACGGTTTGTAATCGTGATGACTAGATTTGCAAGCGTAATCAATTACTATAACTTATTAGATGTTCAAAATTACTTTAACAAATGGATCGATATGATAAGTTTTTACTATAGCTATATGATGATGCATTTCTTCAGTATGATTTCCCGAAGGGCAGCCAAAAATGGAAACTACAACAATTTTTCCAATCAAAATATTTAAATATTTTGTTGATGGAATTTCTTGAATAATAAAAACAATAGAATATGACCAGGTTTTTATGTCTTCAACGTACCAATTTCCAGCAAGGCAATTATTAAGACCAATTGTAACTTCATTTTCCTTCAATGCGTAATTTTTAGAAGGAATTTATTATGAATTAAATTTTTCAATTGTTAACAAATTGTCGTTTTCAAATTCAACTGAATTATTTGCATAGTTAGAACAGTGGACGCTGACTGAAACAACCATGTCGTGTTTGAGTTTATATAGGAGAATTCGAATGCATCGAGATTACACATCAAATAGCCGCACAGTGTTTCTAGCACTCGGAACTGAAATCAATGTGAAATCAATATTATTATCGTTTTAGGCGAACTTTGAATTCGTCGAAGTTGTGTGTTACTCGGAAATTACACTTGCTTTTAATCAACTGAAATCCTTTCCGATTCGTGCATTAAAAATGTTCTGTTTAATTTCGAAGTAACACAATTTCGAGGACAATTTGTGCGGCTACAACTACAGTCATATTGATTTCACATTAATTTTAGTTCCGATTGTTGAGAACACTGCGCGGATTTCATTATTCGGTTAAAAGTAAAATTGATGATCTATTTAAATTCTTAGAAAACCATATTATTCGAAAAAATAATTTCTGCGAATTTTCGAATTAAGTTTCATACGCCCAACAATTCGGCAATCCACTTTTCGCTGTATGGTGGATAAAAAAAAGAAATGGCCCATGGGAGGATCGAACTCACGACCTTCGCGTTATTAGCACGTCTAACCAACTGAGCTTATGACAAAAACGAACGTTTTCGCAACGAATTAAACGACTTGCTTAATGAATTAAGTATTTTCATATCATACGACATGGTCTTGGATTGAGCATGAAAAGTAAACAAAATGATGGATTTATTTGGATTCCAACACAAAATCAGATTGTATTTGTTTGATTGAATATTTTGAAATTATTTGTTTTTTTTTAAGTAATTCATCAAATGTATTTTCGTTAAAATTTTCATTTTTTGATGATCAATGACAAATTGGAACATTCAAGTCGATTTCACAACAATTATCTTTATTTCATTCAGTATTGATGACATTTGAACTATGGACAGTGTTCAATGAACACAGTTGATACAGTCAATTTGAACAATATCAATCAATTTCCGGTGGAGCAGTTTAATATGAAACATTGCGTTTCATCAACAAATGAACGACTGTAATGGGGCATTTTTTGATATAATTCCCTCAAAACTGGAATGAAAAACAAATGAGAGAGAAAAGAGAATGTATCTAAAATAGAAAAAATATCTGTGAATGACTGTATTGTCAGTCTATTTTTTCGCTTTAGTCACATGAACCGTCGCCATGAGCTTTCGATGGAGACACCCGTAATAAGTTTCTAAACGAATTTCACAAGTTTCATGTTCCAATTTTTGAAAAAAAGTTGAAACGAAGCCTGTTTACCAGAAACTGACCAAATTATTGGTTGTCTTTAATTAGTTTAACACTACTTTCGATGGTAAGAGTCACTAAAAGTGTGGAGGAGTTAATAAATCATCGTTGAATGTGAATCTATTAATTTTGGCCTAAATATCACGCAACAATGTCACCGCCGTAAATGTGAATATCGATGAATTTTATGATAAAAATCTGATTTCAGTTTGACCATCACCTTGGGAGACAGTGCATAAAACAGTTGGAATCCGATAATAATTAACACCTAAAAAAGCGTGTGGCGCCATATCGAAAAAATTCGGCTGAAATCAGTAAATTAATAGCGTCATTTAAGCGGCTAATGAGTGTTAGTCATGTTGATGCGTAGGCTGGCTTATCAGCGGGCTTATTAATATTGTCGCCTAATCAAAAAAAAAACTGTTGAATCAAAATCAAAACGAATCATTTCATTTAGTGGAATGAATCGAAATTGCGCATTTTGTTAGCGAAACAAAATCTGTTCAAAATGGATTTAATCGAAACCACCTTGCGAAATGTTCATATATCATCAATTCAGACATCCGGTGAACACGCTTTAGAACGAAGTCAACAAAACGAATGATGAAACTGTGCGCACGATGTGATATTTTTGGTATTTGGCGTTGATATACCTTCGAAGTTCAAATGATTACTACGATTCGTTCGACCACGAAAACAACAACGACTTGGTGCTCTCTAAACATATACATTTGCCCGTGCAGTGACACATTCACCGTAATTGTTGTTCGTCTTTAGTAAACCGACGCCCGAAAAAAACACAACGTTTTCGATGCACAGAAGAGTTTTTTTTTCGTGTGTGCGTGTGTGTTTTCGGTTATGTATTCAAGAATTGACACACAGATATTTAATTTGATTATTTTTCCGCTTCGTGACTATCAAAAGCCATTCCAGTCAAAGGAGTTCCGAGTGATGAGGCATTTATCAAACAGACCAAATGAAAAAATAACACAACAAAGTGACGAAGAACAGACAATAATCTTCTTTTTTTTCTTCTTTCAATTTGGAAGTCGGAATAAAAACACGGCTTTTCGGTGTATATTTTGGCATAAGTGACGCCTTTACCATTTTAAGCTATCGCCTTCGACAATCCATGGTGAATCGCCAACAAGATACGTGCTCTTCATACGTATGTTGAATGGTTGTGTGTGTGTGTGTGTGTGTGTGCGTCTTGCGGTTGGCTAAAATTACAGCGCTAATGATTCAGTACGAATGATCACCATTTGACTGATTATAGTCACTGAAGAAATTCACAAATTATACCTTCATAATTTCTTCTAATAAGTGCACATTCAAACGTACGAACCCACACACCAACAAAAAAGAGACAGAAACACTCACAACTAAATTCGACGAAATACATAATTTAAAGAAATGTATGAAATCAGCGTTACAGCCCAAGTCCTCGTGTAATTGACGAACATTTTCTTCGATGAAAAAAACAACACACACACGAAAGACTCGGGAATAAGGCGATGAATACAGAAGACGTATAAATGAAATTAACGAAATAAAAACCGAACAATTTACTCAATGATTAAATTTTCAACAATTTACGTTTTTCGTGAACAATTGAATGCGACACAACATCGAAGCAGTGCATGCGTATCGCCATCATTACTGTCTTTGGATACAGGCAAAATACACTTGTTTCAGAATGAGCGTATTTCTTTACAAAAGGGATAGGGAGTGAAGGAGTTGATCACCTTCATGATCCTTTGAAGCAGACTTCGAAGCAACTGATTTGAGTTGCTTTGATATTCAAAAGGGCTTATATTTTGGCCATTTCGGTCATCCATGGCAAAAATTCTATCGAAAAATTGCTCTCTTCAAGTTGAAGTCTTCAAGATCATTCAGTTTAAGCCACTTGAACGTATTAAATGCGCGAAATCCGAATAAAAATGTGAAACGTGTACAAAAATATCAAATTTGGGAGAAAATGCGAATTTTCAACAGAACTCTCTTTATTGAATATCTTGGTTGATAAAATCATGAAAATGTATGAAAAAACAAGCATTTACTAGTATATTTCCCAAGAATTGTCCATTAAAATGCCCTTGTCGATTAAAACTCTGCCTAAAATTCAAGCTATAGGCAGATTCTAAGCCCATTCTGCCTTGCTGTCGAATTCCAATTCTGATGAAATTATACCCAAAAACTGATTTCTTCGACCAGAAAGTGCTCCAACGCTTAGTTTTTTTTTAAATGAAAGATTTCATTTTCTTATTGAATCCGAATGTCAAGATAAATTATATAAGAAAATTAGCTTCGGCAATATGATTTGGAAAGCGTCAAATTATGGAAATTCATATAATGAAATTACACAGTGTAAGAAGAAGAAAAAAACGAAACTCTTTGTTGGTGTGTTGAAGCAAAAGTCGTAAATCATTTACCCTAATTTGACATACGCAACGCACATCATAGACTCACACACATCGTGAAACTTTAATTTGTTTCTCTCACTTTCGTCATTTTTCTGGCAAGCTAACTCCGATTAACTAATAAAATCATTAAATAGAATGAAAAAAAAAATAGCGAAGCATCTCGAAGAGATCTAAATAAGCCGTTCGTTTTTCTGCTTACGATTTTCCATCGTGTTATTTTGTGATGTGTGCTCAAGTGCAGAAAGTATGAAATCGGTCGCAATGAATTTCCATGGATGGCAGCAGATCGTTGTCGAAATTGAGTGACACAGCCAACGATCGTTCCAATGTGGTTGCGTTGATTTATATATATTTTTTTTTCTCGGTGAAATGAAATCGAAATGCTTTCTATTTAATTACTTTTTTCAATATTTCGTAATAGAACTGCATGGATGACAACGAAAGAAACAGACGCAATGCTTTCACAGATATCAATCTAAATGATTGCGTGTGATTACTTTGAATTTCACTTTTTATTTCGTCAATTTGACGCATGGAATAATATTCCATTGGATTATGTATGACACGTTTGTTGAATCCTATTGCTTGATCGATTTGCGGCGAAAAAAAGTTTAAAAAAGTCTTTAAAATATAATTTCTCGCTTAAGATTGGTCGATTGCCAGTTTTTCATGTCGAATTCCCTGTAATATGAACTTGATCAGTGACGAGATCCGTTGAAATGATTTCCGGCAAGCGATGCATCGATAATGGGCTCCTTGGAAATAAAAACCGTGGTTTTGCGCACCCTCTCAACATGTTCCGCATCAATACATTCGAAAGAAATGTATACGAGCCTCTATCTGCGCCTATGATCTTCACATTTCACTCCGGTTTCAAATACAGTGGACGAAGTTTTCAGTGAAGTTCAGAGAGAAAGAGACGCGAGTAAGAACGAAAAAAACGGCCGTCGTTGAACTTGGACGAAGCGCGTCGGTTACGCATTCTGTTAACGTTAAATTAATTGCAAAATAATCAACTGATTCAACAACAATAGACATTCTGCTCATTACCGAATTCAATTCCCGGGGAAAAGTGTTCGACAACGTTTCACGCATTAAATAGCACACATACACACGTGAAAATCGCTCGTACTTGTTTTTTTTTTGTCTGGATCCCTTCTAATTTGACAAACTAATTTTCGAGAGTGCGACTCAAGAATCGGAATGATGAGCGAGCGAACGAACGAGTGCGCGCGCAAACAACAAAACGTGCGCCACACTTCGATGCCTTTTGATGGGTCTTCAACCGCTTTGGGCTGCTTTTTTTTCATCTCTGAGCAGAAAATTACTTAAATTTTGCTGTTACCATTCACGATTGGACGAACACATCAGTCAGCAACCGAAGAAGAAGATGACGATGACGACAACAACAACAACAAGAAAAACGACTCGGCTGTTGCTCGAGCTTGTTCTAACAATCAAACAAACAAAATGCCCATTGGCGTGCGATATGAGCCTTAATATACTTTTTTCTCTCTCTTTCTCGGGCAAAACACAATTTCCTCTGGTATTCATCATTTTTATTTATTTTCTCTGACCAGTGTGACTGGCCGACCGCGACATCGACAATCTAAGTTACACATTAAACCAACGCGTTTTGTTCCGAGTTAAATGACTGGTGACAAACCGCATTTTCACACCAGATTCATTTCTAACTTCCATACACTCAACAGTGATTTTTAGCAAGACATCTTAACTTAAGGCTTTACGGCATCGAGTTATGAATTGAAGATAGTTCTAGAAATGGTTTCATACAAAGAACCGTGTCCCGTTTTGTATGGAACTTGGGCCATTTTGTATAGAGATGTGACGTATACTATCTTAAAGGGCACAGTAGGTAGATCAATTATATATAGGTACCCAACCCCT